AAAGATTATGTGAAAACACTTCTAGTAAGGTAAATAAAACAGCTTCTAAAAGGTTTGTAAAAGGTGATACAGAGGATTATGGTATATTAAATTGATTTTTGAGCTTCACCACATTGTTACAGCCATGTTTTAACTTCTGATGCTCTGTGTGACAGCCAAGTACCTTGATTATAACCCTGCAGTATAGTTTCCATTGCAAAATGATCTGTGGTAAGACTGTCATACCCAAATAAACCGTTTCTCAGGATTTCCATTACTTATCTATTGTACGAGGAGATGGTTTCCCAGTGCTTATTTCAACAATCTGATCCCACAGGTGTTGCATCCAGTGAGTTAATAGTTCTGTCTTTGTATGGGATAACGAATACCCATTTCATTCTCCAGCTGCTTGATGTATGTGATGGTTGAACGTGAGGCATGATTGGAAGCCTTATTTTTGTGAACTTAAACCCTGTTGGTCTCATTTCCAAATGGAGATACTTCTTCATTGCGTACTGTTGCCTGGGGTACATGGACATGGCTGAGGTACGATTTGTTGCATGTTTCTATCTGGATGGTTTGTGCCTAAACTTGATCCATATTTCTTTGTTCACCAGTGCCGTTAAGCACGTTTTGGAAGTTCTAAATCCCTGATGTGAGTTTATGTTAAACTGTTACATACCGTTCCCAGAAGTCATCCATTTTCAGTGCCAAACAATCTCAAAATGTATTTCTTACATACACTGTTCCACTGTATTAGTTGGGGTATTCATATGCATTGTTGATTTGAATATTCAAAAGGGTTTTGTTGTAATGTACTCAACCCTTTGTGCTTCTTAAGACATAAAGACAGCCTTTAAAAAAGCTTTGTAAAAGTTTCTTTCATTTCTCTGAAAACAAACAAAAATTATTATGATTCTTACTTTTCAAGATTTATTCATTTTCTACCTTCTTAACTGTCTATGTATACTTGTTACTATGAATTTAGATATGTTCCAGCTGATTGAATTAGGAGAAATGAAACAAATTGGGAGTTTAGAGGTACTCAAGGTGATTTCTTGAAACATATGTAAAAGATTTTATAACCTGCAATTTATTGTTGCTTTTTTTTTCTGGTTATTTCATTATATTGTGGTATTTCTGTGGTGTAGATAAGTTGTCATATCATTCACACAAATTTTAGGCCTAAAAATGCACATAAAATCAATATCTTGTAATATCTCGGCTTCAGATAAGAATTTTCAGAATTTGTTGAACTACCTTGTTTTTAATGTATTGATGAGCAACACACTGAAATGTTCACTAAGCATGTTATTATTTGTATATGCAGCTTCGATATCACAACATTACATAAATTAAATATAGTATATGTTAGTAGGTCTGTACACAGAATAGCATGTGAATTCCATGTGCAAAACTCAATACAAACTCCAGTTTTTGTTGATATAAAGTGAATAAAGATGTTTAGTGCAAGTTCAGAAGTGGTTCAATTTGAATCGTGTTACCAAACGTACTTGATCTTTCAACCATAGGAGTAATCCCACTTTTCATTGGTAAAGAATAGCCCAAGAATTGGAAGTGGACTGTGTTGACTAGATGTCTTCCCTCTAATTTGTCACTTCAAAAGTTTAGGAGGGCTGGCAGAGATAGCGCTTGGGTAACTTTGTGCAAAATTCTGTAAAAAAAACTTCAGAAAGCTTGTAATATATAAAACAATAATAAAAATCAATTACCAGCATCAACTAGCTGATATAAAATGTATAGTTGAGAGGGTTTAGCTTTAAACATATTTTATAAGTCTGTTAAGAGGGTTGGTTTTAACTTTTTCATATTTACCATTTAGTACCAGTTCAACATTCTCAGAGTAGTTCTCTTTATTATGGATAACTATTTGATCACCTTTACAAATTAAAATATCCAAATTGTTTAACACCTTTAAGAGTTGTATATCTTAACATGGGGATGGGATTTTAAACCCAAAAATTATTCAGTAAGAAGATTTCATTTGGAGAAGTGTAAACAGCGTAAGAAGTGTAAAAGTATGGATATCGATAAAGTGAATATCATAAGAGTGGAAAATGTAAAGAGTTAATAAGTAATTTTTAAGTCAATTCGGAGAACAATGAAGATATACAAACCTTAAAGTCGTTAAACAACTTGGATATGTTAATCTGTAAAGCAGATAAAGTTGGTCAAATAGTTATCCAAAATAAAGAGGACTTTACTAAGAATGTTTAACAGTTACTAAATGATGGTATATATATGAAAAAGTTAAAACCAACTGTCTTAACAGGCTTCATGAATTTGTTACCAAAGAAAAAAATTAAATACCATGTAAGCCTAACTTCCTCAGAGAAAAAATAGTTGGTTCTGAGTAGTTTTATAATTCCAAGATTTTATGTTTTGCCTGAAGTTCACAAAATAAGAGATTCCTATAGATGTATAGTATCAAATATAGGTTCGTGTTTTTACAATGTAACTAAATTAAGTAGGCTTTCTTGAGTGATAAATATACTTATACCATTAAAAATTCCATAAAATTTGTTGAACAGATATGTAAGGTAAATCTGAATAGTAATGATATGCTTATATCTTTTGATGTTATATCACTATTCACGAAAGTGTCTGTTGATACAGCTATCAATTGTTATGATGTTAAATTACATTTTAACAAAAACTTGTGTTGGAAACTTATTTTCTCAATATAATTAGATCTATAAACAGACTGAAGGCCAAGATATGGATTCTCTTATTGTGTGATCTTTTTATGGATAGGTTTGAAACTAATGCATTACAGAATGCCAAACTTAAACTGGAAATATGGATTAGAAATGGTAAATAGAACTTGTTAGTGTTCACCAATTATTTAAATGTCTTTGAACCCTCTATTCAATTTACTCATGAAGTTGAAGACAACAACAGCTTGCTGTTTTTCGACGTACTTGTTATGAATAACAAGACTAAGTCAGAAACTACAATCTGTCATATACCTTTTTTTGTGTTATCCACACCAAGAATCATGTCGTTCAAAGTTCCAAAAAAATATCAGCTTTTTACTCTTTTATGTTTACAGGTCTTTAAAACTGTGTTCTGATTCAACAGATTTAAAAAATGAACTGTTACTTATTAAACATGTAGCATTACATAGAGGTTTCTGGCCTCATATTGTTGATAGAGCCGTGAGTAAACTAAACAAACTAAAGTTAGTATTTGATAAAATACATAAAAGATAATTGTTGTTTATATCCCAGGTTTATGGTGTCAAATGTTTCATAAATTCAAAAAACAAAATATTGCCATTTACATACTAGTGAATATAATTAGTCAAATATTTAACTGTTTTTCCCATGAATGATATATCCAGTATATATCTGTTTTTCCCATGAATGATATATCCAGTATATAACTGGTTTTCCCATGAATGATATATCCAGTATATAACTGTTTCCCATGAATGATATATCCAGTATATAACTGTTTCCCATGAATGATATATCCAGTATATAATTGTTTCCCATGAATGATATATCCAGTATACTTTAGAGTTTTCACTTTTGTTTTTAACATTTCTCTTACGTTCATTTATTCTAAATTTCTTCCAGTTTGACCAACGTAAGCATGATCACACTTCCACTGAACTTTATATATGTATGTTTTTTCCATTAGATTTATTTCATCTAGTTTTATTTTATACTGGATATATCATTCATGGGAAAAACAGTTATTCTGGCTTAACCAAATAATATGACTGCTAGAAATATTAGAGAAACCATTGAAATAATGAAACACAGCAAAATCAACTTGATCTTAAATAAGGAGTAAGAGCTAGAAAATCAGAAAGTATGTAGATGGTGTGATCTTCTTATCTGAAATGTCACATGACCATGCCTTTTGTACTTATATAGCACACAGTAACTGTTTTCCACACTTTTGAAGATGACACGTTGAAACTTGTAGAGTGACTTTTACAACAGTTGAACGTTTTATATAAAGATTTTAATTGTGTTTTGTACAAAGTTGTTTGTTTGTGGATTTTAATATATATACACAAGTTTCTTGAATTTTAACCTTTTAATAGCATATTTTTTATTATATTTTGATTGAAATCAATCTTAACCTTTCCCTGCTTAGTACTTAACAATTTTTATCAGTGTATACAGTGAAGTTAACCTAAGAAATGATACAACAATTTTATAAGTATGTTCGATATTATTTACAAAAATTGTTCAATCCATTGTGAGAGTGTGTTTGTACCATCGTCAAGATTTATCCAAAAAACAAAAATTTATTGTATAAATTTTGAAGTTGAAATTAATTTGCATAAGCACCTTTCAACACCAGTCTAAGGTTATCTATGCTTATCAGTCCTGTAGTTTTATTTTTATGGAGGTAAATTCTGGTATTTCAGTAAAAATAAGTTCACTAAGAAGTATTGTTCCAGGAAGTTTTTCTTAAAGGACACATCACAAGTTCTATTAAGTTGTAAATATGTTCAGTAAGACATTTATACAACCATCTGCCATTAACCTAGAAAACTGACAAATTGTAAAACTTAAGATCACCGTGTTTGTGTATCTCTGTAAATGGAATTACTAAATGAATTTCTGGCTTAACGAAATCTTTCGTTGAATCTCTGTAAATGGGTGTTTATGAGATAAGTTTTGTTCTCATCCAGATCCTATAACATGTTTATCAGGAGAGTAACACTCTTCCCTGTTCAACAAGACCTAATACAACAGAAAGAATACATACATTTAGGCTAGTACCGTGATGTATTAGGTCTTCCTATTCAGTGTCTGACATCAAATTAACTCATAAAAAAGTTGTTTTTATTGCTTGAAGAGTTTGATGTGAAGGTGTTAGACAAAAAAAAGCATTACTTATGATTAAGGTTGGTTGCTACAGTGTAACCCTTTAATTATTTAAAGACTGTCTATATGTTTAACCACTTAACCAAGATTAGTCATCTCACAGATGCTCCTTCCTTATAAGGAACTTGAATAACTTTTTGTTTTTGTTTCAGAATGCAGGATGGTAAGGCAGAGTTGTGGGAACGAGGGACACCCCTCCTATCAGGGTCACACACCCTTGTGCAGAATCCTGATGCTTCAATGACTCTTGAAAAGATAGAGAAGTCAACTTTAAAAATATTTTTATGTAATGGGACCTGTAACATTGTTAAGTTTGGAGATGCGACTGATGTCAGAGTAAGTGAAATGAACACTGCCAATACATTGTCTTTTTTTTAATTTATTTATGTTTTCACTGTTACAGTTCTAGCCACATTAAAACGTTCAATTTGAAATATTGGAATTCACCACTACTTTTTATTGACTCATTCCACCACTACTTTTTATTGACTCATTCCACCACTACTTTTTATTGAAGTAGTGGAATGAGTCAACAAAAAGTAGTAGTGGAATGAGTCAATAAAGTAGTGGTGGAATGAGACAATAAAAAAGTAGTGGTGGAATGAGACAATAAAAAGTAGTGGTGGAATGAGTCAATAAAAAGTAGTGGTGGAATGAGACAATAAAAAGTAGTGGTGGAATGAGTCAATAAAAAGTAGTGGTGGAATGAGTCAATAAAAAGTAGTGGTGGAATGAGGCTTTTTATTGACTCATTCCACTACTACATCTGTGGCCATCCTGATCTCTTTTCTTTCAGAGCTACTTGTAACATAAGACATTATAATCTTATTCATAAAAGTAATATATTTCACAAGAGTTTTATCGTAGTTTGTTATTTTGTCTTAACCGAGTAATCGAGAAGTATCTAATATTTCCCATTTCATCTAGCTTTCTTTTTGTTTTTATCGTGAAATACAAAGTTTCAATTTTTTTTCCAGAGTATCAAATAAAGTTAGTGTATGAATTTAGGAAATGATGTTTTTATTCAAAAAGTGTGTGTAATGAAACGTGGGTCAAAACTTTCTCAAACTTTCATAAAAATAACTTAACATGATGCTGTGGAGTGGAATCATGTTTTTGCTTTTTTTTAGTCAAATAGAGTTGAACATTTTTACATACTTTCTGTAATTTGTATATCAAAATTTGGCATTGACTATTATGATCAAAATAATAATTATATTTTAAACTACATGAGAGGAACAATTAAAAGTCAATAAGATTGTGTTGTATTCAGTTAGTTGTTAGTGAATTAAATATGGTTAAGATGTTTAGTAAGGTAACTGAATAACCAAACAAAGTGTCATGGAAATGATAGTGTTTAAAGTACATTAATTAATTACATACGTATAACAAGTATTATACTTTGTGGAGCAAAATAAACAGTTTATTATATGTAACATAAAAGCATTGTGGAAATTAATTTGTAGAGTAAAATAAACAACTGATTATATATATAACAAAAACAGAGAGGAAATTATGTTTCGTAGAATAAAGTGAACAATTAATTGATTATTTATAATGAAAAAGCAACATAGAAGTTGTGATTTGTAGAATGCAATGAATGATTAATAATGTATAACAAAAAATACCATTTTCATGATGCATTATTGTTATATATATAATGCTTCATGGAAATTGTGGTTATAAAGCAAACATAACGGACGCTTAATTGAAATAATTAAGCATCAACGATTAAAAAAATTAAAAGTAATGCCAAAAAATGAGGCCAGCATATCAGTGCATTTTGGTGAAGTGGCTTTCACTTTTTTTAGGTTTTTGATATATATATATATATATATTTTACAATTTGAATTTATTTATTTGTCTTTGAATGTTATTGAATGATACAGCATGAATGGTTTTAAACCTTAGTTTTAGAGTATTGTTACACCATCAGCAGATCTGGTATGGTATGTGTACTGTGTAGGTATACAGGAAGCCTATACTGAACAAGGTTATCTGTGACATTACACATGGTGATAATGTACGTGCAGTTTTGGAACGACATCAGGTGAAAGTAGTTCTGAATGAGCTGCTTGAAGTTTGTTAAACTTCATTTTAAAATCTGTTTAATTTGTTGTTCTTTATGTTTTACATAAAGAGGATATAAAATAATGTATTGTTTCATAGTCAAGCATCATAAAATGTGTTTTGGGTGACATTTACAAAATGCTAGGTCAGCAGGAACTCCGCAGAGATAAGCTATCAAATAGTCCAACTAAACTTAATGAAGATCTTACACGATGCCTAGTTTATGTGATAAAGTAGCACAGTTTACATTTCTCACATGCCCTGTATATATTTAACCAATGTATTTACACTGTTTAGTTACTTGTTGCAGTAAATGTTATCTTCATTTTTAGTTGACAAAAAAAATGTTCTGTTTTACATTGAATGAGTACTGTTCTTCATATGCTGGATTCTTCCTTACAATAGTGTGTTGTGCCAGATGAATCAATTAGACATATATTAACCCTGTAATTGTGGCAGATGAATCAATTAAAGTCATATATTAACCCTGTAATTGTGCCAGATGAATCAATTAAAGTCATAAATTAACCCTGTAATTGTGCCAGATGAATCAATTAAAGTCATATATTAACCCTGTAATTGTGCCAGATGAATCAACTAAAGTCATATATTAACCCTGTAATTGTGCCAGATGAATCAATTAAAGTCATATATTAACCCTGTAATTGTGGCAGATGAATCGATTAAAGTAATATATTAACCCTGTCATTGTGCCAGATGAATCAATTAAAGTCATGTATTACCCTGTAATTGTGCCAGATGAATCAAATTAAAGTCATATATTAACCCTGTAATTGTGCCAGATGAATCAATTAAAGTCATATATTAACCCTGTAATTGTGGCAGATGAATCGATTAAAGTCATATATTAACCATGTAATTGTGGCAGATGAATCGATTAAAGTC